CTCACCCTCAGGAACGGGCAGGGCTGGAAGTCACCTCTTTCTTACAGCTACATTTTTTTCCAGCTAATTTTTATGACCCAATTGCTGTTGTGAAGAAATGCAAAAGAAAAGCAGAACACATGCAGTTTTGCTCATTGCATGTTTTCTTTTTAATTAAATAAGTCAAGTAAGCCATCAGGCGATGGGTTCACATTCTGTTCCTCAAAGCAGGCCCTGACTGCTGGCAGCCACCAGCTCTCTGAAGGGCAGCCCCTGCATTTCCAGGAGATGGCAGGTTGTCTGTGGCCACGGCAAGGACATCTGGGACGATGACAGCGAGGGGGCTGGGAGCAACATGGGGTGGCACAGAATGAGCTACGCGCTACACAGACACGCATGGACACATGTGTACATACCATGGCCACATATGCCATGAAGGGGGTGTCCTGTACTGTGTGGTTGTGAAACATGACAGAGCTTGCAGGATCCAGGAAGGAGCGGAAGAGCCAGACAAACTTGGCCTAGAATATACAGATGAGATAGAGACCTCAGGGGTGCCCAGTTCAAGCCCAATTTTAGAGGAAGCAGGCAACATGGTCATCTTATTTCCCAAAGTACATGGTCTACAACATCCGCTGGGCCCACGAGGACGGCACTGTGTCTGTGTCCTTCAAAACATATACCTCGTCTCCCATGCACACTCGTGGGGTGCCAAAGGACACAAGACCAAAGGATCTTGAAGCTTTTGAGACATCTGAAGTTGCCGATTCTGCTTCATGCTTTTGAGGTAAAGAGTAGCTCCCGGTATTTCTGAAAGCGTGGGCAGCTGAGAGGTGAGGTGGCTGCGTTCAGGAAACCCCGGGCCTTTTCCCTCCCATCTAGCGGGACCACATCCCGGGGATCTTCACCAGCAAACACACCAACTTGGGCCCCAGGATTTCAGCGGATGTTCCTTCTTTCGGTCTGTACAGATTGAGACCTGTGTGGCTTCTGCAGGCACCTGTCCCCCACCCGCTTCTCCCCGCTTAGCTCTTCCTGCCTCAGGAAGCACCCCTTTGAGACCTGCTTTCCCTTCCAGCCCTTGGGGACAGGGTAGAGGGAACTCCCCTGAGGATGCAGTCATCCAGTCTTCTGCTCCCATCCTTGAAATTCCAGGTCCCACCAAGGGACAGGCCCTCGTGTGAGAGAGGATCACCAGGGCTGGAAGATGCCTTTAGAGTCAGGATCAGACCATCTGATGCTTCTACCTCCTCTCTACCACCCAGGCCAAGTCCGCCTTCTGGGACAGGGATCTATGGTCTCCTGCTGCAGCTCCTTCCGTTGTGGCAGATGGCAAGGGAAAGGTCCATTGTGATGGGTGCAGGCTGCCTGGGTACCCGCTACTCTTTGGGGTTCTGTCAGCAGCTGCCCTATTGCACCAACCTCTGGCAGTAGCTCCCAGGTCAAGGGTGCTGGCAGATAGGGAGCAAACTCATCATTAAACATTTTTCTGTTCATTTAGTTATTTCTTTTCAAGTGTGTTTATCACGTGGGCGACAAAAGGTTAGAATTTGAACAGGTCCTTTAGCCTTCTGAGGATAACCTGGTGATCACAGGAGAGAGTGTGCTGCAAAGCTGCACCTATGCGCTTCTTTTTCTCTCTCCGTGGGGACTCAGGAATCCTGCCCTGCAACGGACTATCCCCAAAGACCCCCCAGTGGCCTCATCCACTCCATGGTTATGAATAAGGCCCAGAGGAGAAGCCAGGAATGGGCAGCAAGGGCGATGGCCTGGAGGCATTGGACACTGCCCTGTCTCACCAAACCTGGAACATTCTGAACTATTTATACAGGCTGGGCTCAAGAGGTCTCCATCAACAAGAAGGAAAGTGAATAAGCGCTCATTGCTGAACAGGCCTCTTGTGCTGGGGAAGCTGCGGCCGGCGGAGGTGAAGCTGGACCTGCTCCCTCTGTCTCCAGGTAGGTGGGTGCCGTGGAGGGGAAGGCTCCTAGTGGAGCCAGCCAGAGAGGAGAAAACGGTGCTGGCCTCACTGGAAAAGAAGGCACTGCACCCAGCTGGCCCATCCCAGCTCCATGCTGAAAACCCCAAATGCATGACTCCAACCTCATCCACAGGGTATAAAGCCAGAAGTTACCCACATGCTGTCCTTCCCCAATCCCCAAGTTCCCAGAGCTTTGCTGAGACTCGCTGAGCCCCAGGGTGATACGTCAAGGCAACACCCACCCACTTGAGTTGTGTTCTGTCCTAGCCACCCGGGCAAAGGTAATACAGCAGAAAGGGCCCTAATGGGGCATCCTCAAATCAACAAGAGAGAAACCAAGGAGTTGCCTTAAACAATATCCTGGGGCCATCATGATGCTGGGGCTATTGGTTTATTCCCCTCTTGTATTCTGAATTGTCTTCGGTGTCCTCGTGTGTGTGGTATGTGAATGGTTCCTATTATTGTTATTTTATTTTTCTTGATTTGGGTACAAAAGTCCCTTTGACTTTGAGTCCCTGCAAATAATAAGGTATTTTCTGTCTCTTTTTTTCACAAAATAAATAAATTAAGTCAACTTGCAGTGTGCACACAGTCAATGTCCTGAGAAGTCCCAAAGGTCCATTCTTGGTACTGTTCTTAGAGAACTGAGATGGAGGCTTGGCCCCAGAGGTGTAGGAAGGAAGAAAGAAGTCTGCTGTCTACTCTAGGAGGGCCCTGAGGAAGAGCGCTTGATAGAAGTGGCTGCCCCCAGCCCCAGCAGGGGACAGAGGAAGGAGCAGGAAGAACGACCAGCACTTCTGGGCCTGCCAGAAACATCCTCGCCCCACTCTGCCCACAGTCAAATTTTCAGAGCTGCTGTCCCTTTGGGCTACAAATTACAGCCAGTTCCCTGCACGACTTAGACTGTAAAACCTACAGCGGAAACCTCTTTGAATAATTAAGGTCGATGATGACAGAGACCTAGCAGCTCAAATAAGCCGATTATAATGAATCCATAAGATGGCTAACGTCCTCACCTTTTCAAACATCAGCTTTCTGCCAGAACATACCCTTCCCTTCCCACGGCAACACTAGCCGGACTCGGACGCTGTACTTCCTGGTGTCCATATCACCAAAACCAAAACTCAGCCCTCTGAGCTTACAACGGGACGTGGCTGTCATAGAGGTTGTCCAGGAAATCCGAAACAGAGCTGGGCAGCCCTCAGTGCAGCGCTGCGGCTCCCCGTGAGGTCTGAGGCAGTACTGAGCTCTGCTCCTGGGTTTGGGGGGGAGTGGGAAAGGCTTCCACTTCGGGGACACTCGTTGCTTGGTCATAAGGCCCCTGTCCTCCAGGAAACGTGTTAGGGTCAGGGGAGGTTTTCCAAATCTAGCCTCTTCTCGGGGCGGGGATGAGGGCTGCTAAGGCACACAGCTTCTGCACACTCACGAGAACGCTGCAGGTTCCTGAGATCTGTTCCACAAGGCTGTGGAGCACTGCAGGCTGCCACCAGGCCACCCAAGCTCCAATCCTTCTGGGGAAGCCTCCTCCTCCTGTCCTCTCCCTCTGCTGAGAGCCAACTGCCCCCTGCTGTCCTCCCGGCCTCCCTCAGGCCCTCAAGCCTGGCCGCTTCCAAGAGACACTCCTGTAGAAAACCGAAAACACAGCCACAAAACAAGAAAGACACCAAGCCATAAATATGTTGAGAAGTCCCAAACAACTCAGCCCATCCTGAGTTGAGCAATACTCTTCTCAGAGCCCTGAAGGAGGAATTGTAGACACTAGTTATAACCATGGCGACCGGCTGGCTGATCTCTGTCCACAAGGGAGAAGGCAGGCTTCTCAGGGGAGGGGTGTGTCCTGATGTGACTTCTCCCCCAAGAGCACTCTGTACTTTCTTCTTGGCTCTGCCCCCAGCAGGCCTGGCTGGAAATGGCAGGACCTGTGAGCTGTCTTTTGCCCCCAGGGACCATAGCTGCTTCTGCCAGTCAGACCTGAGGCAGCTTCAAATATGGACATGCTCTCGGGGAGCCGAGCAGGACGGGGCCTTTGGGCCACAGTCACATGAGGTTGTCCAGGCCATTTCAAAACATCCTGCTTGCCAGCCATGAGCGTGGGAATGCATCAGAGGAGGTAGCCAGAGAATCCAGGGAGGGCTGTGGACTCGGCAGTTCTGAATCCACTGTTCAGTCCCAAACCTGGTCAGGGAGCTGTGTCCTTGCCCTTGACTGTTTCCTTCCCTGCCCTCCAAATAATCCTAAAGTGTGACGAAAAGTCTCCTCTTCCGGTGTGTGATACAGATAAACCTTGTGGGCATAAAGCAATGGGAAGCTTGTCTGTGCATGTGTGTATTTGCGTTTTTGTGATGCTTTTCTGTGTGTGTGGTGTGTGTGTCTGTATGTCTGAATATACATACCTCTGTGTTTTGTAGCTCTATACAGGGCTGATATTCACCAGCAACCAGCACAGCGGTCCTTTTTATAAAAATATTGAATCATTCTATACTGGTTGGCAAACAGCCACTGACACCTGATGAGCCTCAAATGCCACCCTCTGACACCCTGGGTTGTCCCAGCTCCTCCCCAAGGACCCACCCAGATCCCAGACTTCTCCACAATCCAGAAATGCAAAGGTTAACACTGAGTACAGCAGGAGGTCAGACTGTAACTGGTCAGTGGCCATGCCCCTTCTGGTTGTTACATATTTGGACTCTAGCCCACAGGGTCTCCAGGCATTAGTGCATGGTGTGTGTGTGTGTGTGTGTGTGTGTCTCCAGGCATTTGTGCATGGGGTGTGTGTGTGTCCAGGCATTAGTGCATGGGGTGTGTGTGTGTCCAGGCATTAGTGCATGGGGTGTGTGTGTGTGCGCGTGTCTCCAGGCATTAGTGCATGGGTGTGTGTGTGTGTGTGTGTGTGTGTGTGAGAGAGAGAGAGAGAGAGAGAGAGAGAGAGAGAGGAGAGGAGAGAGGCTTGTCATTCGGCCAGGGCCTGCCAGGGCCTGCTCAGGAGGCCACAGCCCCTTAGGTCTGGATGTCGGGACGTTGTCCTGTTCTCGGCGAGAACCCCCAGCCCGCGGCCGCGGCGGGGAAGCTGGCTGGCTGGGGCCTACTGCTACAGCGCGGGGTCGCCCGCCCCCGGGGCAGCTGCCCACCCGCCCTCTGCGAGCGCTGCATCTCCCCGCTGGCTGGGGTGCGAGCAAGGCAGGGCGGGCCTGGGCCTTTCACGAGGAGGGTACACGGGGCCCCAGGCCCCCTACGTGACCCAGAAGGTGCCGCGTTCCTCCAGCAGGCTGACCGAGCGGTTGGTGAGTGCGGCGGCGTCCCGCGCCAGCTTGTAGCCGAAGAGGCGCATGGCGGGGCCGCAGGCGGCCTGCACCACCTGCGCCAGCTTGAAGGGCATGCCGAAGCGCCACTTCTCGAACTGCTCCGACGAGTTCTTCCGCGTGGAGTAGATGCCGCTGCCGTCGCGGGCCGCCCGCGTGTTCTTCTCGATCCAGTCCTCCACCTGCGGGGTCAGGTGGATGCCGGCGAAGCGGTACATGTCGCGCGCCTTCTGCAGCGGGCTGCGCGCCACGTCCTCGTAGCGCACGAGCATGTAGCGGCCGCGCAGCCAGGCCGGCTGCCGCAGCCCCAGCTCGGCCGACAGGCGGATGCTCTCGCAGTTGCCCCGTAGCCGCTGCACCTCCTCCTCCCTCAGCCGGTCCTGGCCCTCGGCCAGCCACTTCTTCCAGGGCTCGTACTTGCCGGCGAAGGCCACCATGCGGGAGGCCAGCACGGCCCGGGGGTCGCGCACCAGCTGGATGATGCGCAGGTCCAGCCGGGGGTCCTCGGCCAGCGGCTGCAGGAACTCCAGCTGCCGGATGCGCACGGCTTTGAGGGCCACGTGCTCCTTGCGGCGGCAGGCCTCGGCCGCCAGCGTCACGTTGAGGGGGCCGCAGCGCCGGTCCCTGCAGTGGTACTTCTCGAAGACCTTCTTGACGAAGGGCGTGCAGACGGGCTCCTCGCACAGGGAGCGGCTGGAGCCCCGGCGGAACATGAACTGGGTCAGGTGGTCCTCGGGCAGGGGGCTGATGAAATGCTCCAGCACGTACAGGTCGCACAGGAAGAGCTGCTTGAGCACGTCGCGGTAGACCAGGGCCGAGCCCGCGGCGTTGGCACCTCCCGGCTCGAAGGACACGGTGCGCTCGATGTGCCACAGCGGCTCGAAGAGGTAGAAGATGTTGCCCTGCTGGTTGAAGAACTCGCCCACGAACGAGGAGCCGGTGCGGGTGGTGGCCATGAGGAGCACGTGGCGCCGGGGCCTGGCGGGTGGGGGCGGCCCCTCCTCCCCCTCCTCCCTCTCCTCCTCCTCCACCTCGGGCTCCACCCCCAGCTGCAGGCTGAGGTTCCGCAGGCGGCCCTGCAGCTGAGAGAAGGCTGAATCAAGCTCGCTCAGGGACAAGAGGGACGCGTTCTCAGCCAAGACCAGGGCTGGGTCTGTGCCATTGGCATCTGCTAGGGATTGTGGGATCTGCTTCAGCCTGTCCGAGACCCTGTGAAGACAAAGGGAGATGGGATCAGTGACTGATGGGGGACCCCGTGCAAAGTGCAACTCAAATAGTCTTCCAGGCTGATCACCCAGAGCCCGTCTTAGTTGGTTTCCCCAGAAGCAGACTTTGAAGCAAGGATTTGACTGTAAGCAGATTATCTGGGACATGTTCAACGGGAAGAAGTGGGTACGGAAGTGAGGCAGGGGAGGAAAAGAAATCCAGAAAGGGGTGTGCTTCTATGGAGCAGGTGACGCCTGTGGGCATTTGAGACTCAATCTAGGGGGGACTCTGACAGACACTTACTCCCTGGGACTTCTGGCTTGCCAGTGTGCAGGTGGAGAGAAAGCTCTCGGGTGCAGAGTTGTAGGGGCTTGCAGTAGGACCCAGTAGGTGTGAACTGGAATAGTCCATGTTGAGGGACCCGAGTGGAGCACTGACAGTGTCTGCTACACAGCCTAATTCCTAACCTGCCCATCTTGGCTGATGCTTTCATGCAGGGCTGTCCCTGGGAGGAGGAGAGATTTAAGAAATCTTTCCACATCTAGCAGGCCCACTGCACACAGCAGTACACTGCCAACTCAAGGGGGGAGAGTAGTCTATTTGAGGGGCACTCCCTTGGAGTTGAGCAATACACAACCTGTGCAGATGCACGTGGGAGCCCTGCCAACCAGAGTGTCCATATCAGGACCCTGCCTTTCCTTGGGCTCACCCTCACCCATGACGTCAGGATCTACATAGGGGATGTGCTGCTAATCTGAGGCATCATTCTAGGCCAGGAAGTAAATTAGTAATAATAGTCACAGCCAGCAAATACCGGACACCAACTACATGCCAGGCACTGGGCTAAATGCTTTTACATTTTCTCATTTAATCTTTCCAACGAGACAGGTGTCATTATTAGCCACATTTTACAGAAGGAACTTAAGACTCAGAAAAGCAAAGTATCTTGCCTAAGTTCTCACAGCTGGCAAGGGCCAAAGTGAGGATTCCGGCTCAGGCTGCCTGAATCCAGAGCCCGTCTCACCACCGTGTGGTCATGAGGATGTGTGCATGACCCCTGCCAGGGATGCTGGAGGGGCCTGGGGAAGTCTCGTTGAAGGAGTGTGTTTACAGGTCCACAGAGATCCCTACGGTTACCTCTTTGCCCCCACCCACCGCCTTGATAAGGAAGACCTGTGCTGTGTCCCTCACCTCGATATGATTTTATTTTCCTTCTCAATGAAGACAAAAACTACCACCACAAAAGCCAGGAAAAGGGCATATTTGCTCCTCATCCTCAGGCTGTGCACAAAGTCCCGGCAGTCCTGGGGCAAGGTGGGTCCTTTCTCCATGGGGAAAGGCAGGGCCGTGGGGGCTCCTCAGGTGCTCAGCTCACGGGCATCACGCGGGACCCGGCTCGTCATCTTCAGGTGGGGGACACCCTCGTCCTGTGGAGAGATGGGTGACAGGACACTGCTGTCTATAGACCAGCAAGATAGAGGATGTTTCTCCACCAGACTTCTGAAGAGCCGGCTCTGCTTAGTAGCCAGGACCCCAGACCCACCCTCCAGACAGACTATGCACCTAAGAGACTGGAGGTCTCTTTAATAGGTCATTTAAAATGCTAATGAACTGTTTGACTCATCCATCCCACCTCCATCAATTTGTCCCTTGACCTCACAGGTCAAAGGCATGTACAAGGGGTCTGAAAAAAGTTCATGGAAAGATCAGTACTATCTTTTAATTCCATTTTCCCGCAAACTTTTTGAAGTACCCTTGCACAGTCAGCCTCTGGGTTCCACATCCTTGGGTTCAAACAACCGCAGATTGAAAATATTTAAAAATAAAATTAAACAAATAAAGAACAATACAACAATAAAAAATAACACGAATAAAAAATACAGTGTAACAACTACTTACATTGCTTTAAGTATTATACTCTAGACATGATTTAAAGTACGTGGGAGGATGTGCATAGATTATTTTTTAGATCAGGGACTTGAGCATCCTTGGATTTTGGTATCTGTCGGGTGGGGTGGGGGGTCCCGAAACCAATCTTCCATGGACATGAGGGACAACTGTATATAGAAAAAAGTGTTCCTTGCAGCAGAAATCTTTATAATACCAAAAAACTACAAACACCTAAATAAAAAATGATGGCACATCCATGCGGTGGTTTATTGTGTGGTGACAAAGAATAACGAGGTAGACATAAAGATGCTGATGTGAATAATCCTAACAATATTTTTTTTAAAAAAGCAGATGCAGACATAATGTGTTTATGTAGGACAAGGTTTCTCAACCTCGGCACTGTTGACATTATGGACTGGATAATTCTTTGCTTTGGGGAGTTGTCCTGTGCACCCTTGGCCTCCACCCACTAGATGCCAGTAGCATAGCCTCACTCAGTTATGACAATCAAACATGTCTCCAGACATTGTCAATTGTCCCCTGGGGGGGGGGGGCAGGTGCAAAATCATTCCATGTTGGGGACCTCTGATGCAGCATAATCCCATTTGAATATAAAAAGCGGGAGAAAATACAGATGCAGGATACAGAGGGGCACCTTCCTCACACAATGGAAGTGGCTTCACAACCAGCCAGAAAATCTGTCCTCTGGGGACAGCAGCGAGGTGGGGGCTCTGAATGTGGGTGAGCAGATGGACACCTGGCAGCTGGAGTGGAGG